GGTTAGATTCTAGTTTTCAACTAGAATGCGCAAATTAGACCTTTTCTCCAAGTGCTGTTTAGAAATAAAAGACACTGATGCTTTGTATTTTGACGTTTTGGAATTCACCCACTGTTACACCAGCAAACATAGTTGACCGCGAAAATAAGTTTACGTGTCATTCTTCGCCGTCAACTATGTTAAGAGTTATTCATCGCTGAAGTTTTTTAATGCATCTTTTTTCGCGGTCAAATTTTGAGCTCGCGCCTATATTCGTGCCTAGTGACGATATGTGTGGTGCATTATGTCTCTTTATATAGTTATAGGGACACACGTTCTAAAAAACTTGATTTCGAAAGTCACTAAGAAGAGGCAGATAAAGCCTTTGAGGCTCATGAAAGAGAGGAAAGTTCAGACTTCGATTGTGACATTTCGCAGACATAACTCAAAAAATATGTGAAAACCAAATAGTTATAAGTCATACATTTATTTAAAAATATTTTTTACATTTAAACTGCTGTGTGAAGCATATATGTAATACTTCTATATTGGCAGTAACAGCTAGTACCGTCCGAAAACATTACAGTACAGGTATCTATATATAAATACGCCACAAGAAAATTTTGCAAGTGGTAGATTTTGGAAAAGGGGGCGTGGTACCTCCCATACAAACTGAAATTCTCATATCGCTTTTCTCAGAAACCGCTTATGCTAACATCCTGAAATTTGATACAGCCACATATGCCATCAATACAGTACTTACGGGGAAAAGTGGTGAATAATGAAAAAGGGGCGTGGCACCGCCCATACAAACGGAAATTCTCATATCACTTATCTCTGGAACCGTTTATGCTAACGTCCTGAAATTTGGCACAGCCAAATATGCTATCAATACCGTACTCACGGCGAAAAGTGGTAGATTTTGGAAAAGGAGGCGTGGCACCGCCCCATATAAACTGAAATCTCATATCGCTTATCTCTGAAACTGCTAATGCTAACGTCCTGAAATTCGACACAGCCACATATGCTATCAATACCGTACTTCCGGCGAAAAGTGGCACATTTTGAAAAAGGGGGCGTGGCACCTCTCATACAAACTGAAATTCTGATATCGCTTTTCTCTGGAACCGCTTATGCCAACGTCCTAAAATTTTACACAGCTACATATGCTACCAATACTGTACTTACGGCGAAAATTGGTGGATTTTGAAAAAGGGGGCATGGCACCTCCCATGCAAACTGACATTCCCATATTGTTTTCCTCCGGAACCGCTTATGCTAACGCCTTGAAATTTGACACAGCTGTTCACGCTATCAATATCGTGCTTAAGGAGAAAAGCCGTAGATAGATATTGAAAAACGGGGCGAGGCAACACCCATACAAGCTAAACTTCGCATTTTTCTTATCTGTGTAACCGCTTATGCTAACGTTCTGAAATTTGACACAGCTGCATGTGTTATCAATACCGAACTTATGGTGAAAAGTGGTGTATATTCGAAAGGGGGATTAGGCACCTCGTATACATAATGCAATTTCCATATCGCTTATATCTGAAACAACTTATGATAGACAAGGTAATGGAATTTGATACACCTACATCTATATACATTTAAAATGGTAAGAATTATTCAATTGGGAACCATTTCCAGATTTCTAAATCGCATTTAATGATTGTTATTTTGTGTAATGATTTTTGAAAGGATCAGTGTGTTTGCCTTGCGTTAGGTGGGTGGCGCAGGGATTGAGAGTAGAGATGGGCATGAGACTAAATATTAAGCCCCCATCGCGTCCACCACGAAATTCAATTTTTAACTTCCGAACCCGCTCATATCAACGTTTTTCAGAATTTTACCGCGGGCCCGTGGGCCACAAAATATATCTTTAAAAAAGTTCGCTTGTCTTTCAAATTAATTTTAAATAAAAAAATAAAAAATATTAAAGATCTGGCATCCTCGAATTATTTTGGTTTGCTTTTCTGTTCGTTTTCGTCTCAATAAAATATAAAAAGTGCATATTTTATAAAAATTTTTAAGGAAGATTTTCTGGATTGCGCTTTTATCGGGAGTATCGGGAAAGGATTTTGATCCCGTTCCGTCCGTTAAATTTTTACAGACCTTTCCGATACCGCCCATCTTGAATCAGTATCGTGAGTCCCGATATTCCGTGTCCCTCTCTAATTGAGAGCTATCCTTAAAATGTATGGTCAGATTTGCTTCATATTTAGAACACATAATTGCAACATAAAATTTGGTGCAATTCGGTAGCCTAATCATGTGATGCCAATCTTGACAGAAACACATGTAAAATCGCCGTTAGAGAAGGAAATATTATATTTTGTTTTACATCTTCGAGGTACTAAGCATCCACCGATTTTAATGAAAAGAATGAGGAGTTTATGCAGATGTTGGCAATTTAGTTTTAACATTCCAAGGGGCTCTCAGACTAATATAATCAAAAAAGAGTATTTACAGTCTGGATTGGTATTTGTTAAACATAATAGTCATTGAGGAACCATTAAGCATCTCATTTATACATACATATGCATATTTTTTGTAAATGAGAATTGAGGTTCCTTTCTCGGTACAATTTCGAAAACTACTAAATAAATTCGCTATAAATTTTGGTGGTGGATTTCAAAATCGTCTTTAGTGTAAAGGAGTCAATATTGGTGATACGCAAAATTTAAAAGTGTATGAAATAATGTCGAATTTCGACAACGGGACGATAGTAGTATAAATAAACACCCTGCAGTCAAATGTTCTACTTGAAAACTACCTCACAACTAGTATGAACCGCATGCCCAACGGAGGAGTGAAATAACACAAATGGCAATAACGCAAATTTGTGTTATTTCCCAATTGAATGTGAAATAACACAAATTTGCTTTATTTCATTTCTCGTTGAGCAATTAGACCAACTTTTAAACTTAACAATTGAGTAATAAAGCAAAATAGTGCACATATGTATGTAGGTAGTCACCCAGTTACATCCCTGCAGTACGGGGGAGTGACTACAGGACTGCTGAATCGGTAGCTACCTAATAAACACCGTCAATTACCGACCGACTACTTGCAGTGTATTCCATCGATTACTTTTACAAGGCAATGTCCTAGGCGGTAGTCACCATCGGCTCTCTCTGCACTACCGGGAGTTACTAAAGTAGTCACTTGCGTGATTTATGGGCGCCCTCTGTCGTAGTTTTTCGCTATTCTGCTTCGACTCTGCACTACCATGTGCACTACCACGGGTTAATAGAGTAGATACTTGCCTAGGAGTCGGTGCAGTAGCGATTGACTCCAGCAGTACTGGATGGATTTGACAAAAAGTAGTACATGAACAAGTTAAATGGACGGATTTGTAAATACCCTGCAGTACGGGGGAGCGACTACAGGACTGCTGAATCGGTAGCTACCTGATAAACACCGTCAATTACCGACCGACTACTGGCAGTGTAATTCATCGATTACTTTTACAAGGCAATGTCCTAGGCGGTAGTCACCATCGGCTCTCTCTGCACTACCGGGAGTTACTAAAGTAGTCACTTGCGTGATTTATGGGCGCCCTCTGTCGTAGTTTTTCGCTATTCTGCTTCGACTCTGCACTACCATGTGCACTACCACGGGTTAATAGAGTAGATACTTGCCTAGGAGTCGGTGCAGTAGCGATTGACTCCAGCAGTACTGGATGGATTTGACAAAAAGTAGTACATGAACAAGTTAAATGGACGGATTTGTAAATACCCTGCAGTACGGGGGAGCGACTACAGGACTGCTGAATCGGTAGCTACCTGATAAACTCCGTCAATTACCGACCGACTACTTGCAGTGTATTTCATCGATTACTTTTACAAGGCAATGTCCTAGGCGGTAGTCACCATCGGCTCTCTCTGCACTACCGGGAGTTACTAAAGTAGTCACTTGCGTGATTTATGGGCGCCCTCTGTCGTAGTTTTTCGCTATTCTGCTTACGACTGGTTCGACTCTGCACTACCATGTGCACTACCACGGGTTAATAGAGTAGCTACTTACCTACGAGTCGGTGCAGTAGCGGTTCAAAAGTAGCGATTGACTCCAGCAGTACTGGAGGGTACACAATTTTGCGTCACCACGCGCCGTCGCGTAAAATTTTAAATATTTTTACATAACTACTTCGTACCACATGTTCGCTTCGTCTTCGTAAGCGAAATACACATTTCGGATATGGTGAAACCACTGATGATAATGCAGAAATTTTAACTGAAGATAAAACTCAAAACAATATTCTCTGTGTTATATGCTGCGAACAAGCCTTTAAAATTTGACTATAAGGCAGCCGAATGGCAGAAAATAGATCGAGAAAGCTGTTTTATTATTTCACCTATTTATTTCGCCATGGTTCCATGCAAACATTTTAAGGTTTTCCAGCAATGTTTTCAACATATTGAAAAGTATGCAGATAAAATTCATACAAAAGCGCTATGCCCAATTTGTTGAGCAGTTATTAAAGACGACTCTTTTCCTATATTTTGTTAGACTTTTCGTAAGTTAGAATATTTTGTGAATATTACTTTCTTCATACAATTCATCCCATCACATTTTTTGTTTAATTGTATTTTTGGAATAAACAAAGTTATTTTTCCTTCTGTCAGTAAACTGTTTTTGTTACAAATAGTATAAGCAATGGGAAATAAGGCAAAATTTGTTTTATTTACAACCCTTGTTGGAAATAAAGCAAAACTCAGATTTTCGAATTATTTCCTATTTAAAAGTGAAATAAAGTAAATTTTGCGTTATTTCCGTTTGTGTTATTTCACCCCCCCATGACCAACTAGTCAGCCAACAATTTTTTTCCATGCAATCAACTGGTATTTTGAACATGCGGATGTCCTACGAGATGGCAATTGCCAGATTTCGGTCAGAAATATACCAGTCTCATACTAGTTAAAAATAGATAGAAAAATCTCATATATGAATCAATGCGTTATATCTCTGGCACCTGTCTTGATCATGTTTTTTGGTGCTTTAGTTGTAATACATCCAGTCGAAATCTCAGACCATACGATGACCGGTTTAAAGATAAGTAAAGTTTGTCAGAACCGTAATACAAGAAGAATGGCTACTTCCAGCATAACTAAAACTTATTTTGCTTTTCTGAACGCAAGGCTGAGATTCGAGTCATGGGGCAAGGTTTATGATGAGAACAACATATCCAAAGCATATAGCGTCTTTTTAGATATTCTAAAACAACATATAAAGGCTGCAAGCTATTTGTTTATCCCACGTAAATCTGAAATAAAATTAAAACCATGGATTAATAACACTGGACCACAAATTTCAACTTTTTCTCTTTACCAGAAACGCCGTTATGAAATTCTTATGTAAAATCACCCCCTGATTCCGAAAATCAAGGTTATTTTTAATTCTATGGTACCGTTTTTGAGATATTTGCAATTTACCGTTTTTGCAAAAAAAAAAAAAATTGGGTCCACTTTATCATATATATCTCAAGAACGAATTAAGCAATTCCAAAACGGTTTGAAGCTTTTAAAAGGTAATAAAATTTTCTATAAACTGTGCATACAACACTTTTTGCTAGGCCCTGTAGATTCAAAGATAACGAACAATCATTACCGATTTTTTCAATTTTTTTTGTAAAAATATAAAAAAAATTGTACTTTGCGGGGAAGGATCTCGAAAACCTTTTATTTTTTTGCAGATTTTTTTTTTCTCCCTAAGCTCTGTTGTATTACAAAAAAAATAAGCTATCATCGAAGAAAATCGATGCAAAACTACGTAAGTTATAAGCGATCAAATAAAAATACCCAGGTTGCGCAACTTCAATGTATGTACCTATACATACATACATATATTAAAGGTATAAAGTGCAAGTGAGATATTATCCGGATAAACGAATAACACCATAACAATGATAACACTTTTTCTTTAAATAAATCAAATAGTACTTTTAATACTCGAATTGTATTATAGTAGGTAGAGTGGTTGCATCGAAAGGAAGAGTGGTTGGGTTCGAAACCTGCTGTAGGCATGTAGTTATAAACATGTATTTCCGTCAGTTATGGGTAAGTATGCAGGTAGATTTTCAAAATTATAAGACACAGAAAATTTCTAAAGCCTACATCTAAAACAGGTAGTATTTTCTTTTCCCGGCTTGTTATAAAAAGGAACCTTTCTGTCTAGGTAAGATTTGATTTTTTCAATTTTATTCTTGTTCCGAGTATAAATATGAGTTAATGCGCTTTGAAACTTCATAACATCTTCAAGGCTCGCCGGAGATAGTTCAGTTCATAAGTCTAATTTCAAAACCGTGATTTATTAAAAAAAATAAAATGAGTAAAAGGACGCGAGAATTTGAGTGTAATAAGGATCCAGATATGTTCTGTTTCATGTGTGGCCAATATACTATCATAAGGCGACGACGAGTGTTCTCAGATCATATCAAAACTTTATACTCCAAGTATTTTGGAATTGAGCCTAAAAATGCTGAAAAACCATGGACACCGAACACTTTGTGTACATCGTGTCGAGTAGAATTGATTCAGTGGGAATCAGGACAACAAACAAAATTTGATACACCAATGATATGGAGAGAACCTACTTGCCATTCAATAGAGTGTTATATTTGTCAAACAAAAGTACTTGGCGTTGGAAGATCAAGAGGAGTAACCTATGCTAGCGTACCTACAGTGACATTACCAATCAAATTAAGATAAAGATTGTTAGAATATAGTATAAACATAAATAAATTAAAAAAAAAAGTTAAAAATATGGGTAATTTCATTCATAAATTGAACTTTTAACTCAATAGAAACAGAGCATAGCTAGATATTTCACTCTTCTTTATACCATACATACGTTTTGAGGTATACGTTGAAATTGCGCAACCTGGGTATTTTTATTTGATCGCTTATAACTTACGTAGTTTTGCATCGATTTTCTTCGATGATAGCTTATTTTTTTTGTAATACAACAGAGCTTAGGGAGAAAAAAAAATCTGCAAAAAAATAAAAGGTTTTCGAGATCCTTCCCCGCAAAGTACAATTTTTTTTATATTTTTACAAAAAAAATTGAAAAAATCGGTAATGATTGTTCGTTATCTTTGAATCTACAGGGCCTAGCAAAAAGTGTTGTATGCACAGTTTATAGAAAATTTTATTACCTTTTAAAAGCTTCAAACCGTTTTGGAATTGCTTAATTCGTTCTTGAGATATATATGATAAAGTGGACCCAATTTTTTTTTTTTTGCAAAAACGGTAAATTGCAAATATCTCAAAAACGGTACCATAAAATTAAAAATAACCTTGATTTTCGGAATCAGGGGGTGATTTTACATACGAATTTCATAACGGCGTCTCTGGTAAATTTTGGCCGTCGACCAGTGTAAGTGCAGTAACTTGCGGCCAATAATAAACTTCGTAGTCTTTATTGCGATTCAGGTAGGAAAATAAAAAAAGGAGGCCGTTTGCAACGTGATAACTTTTATCGCAATAAGTTTACGTCCTCACAGAGTAAGTCTAAAAAAGAATGAGAACTTATTTTGAATAGAAATTCTAAAACAAATGACACGACCATTGTTTTGAATGACAATTAAGACACTTCCTGTAGTCAAATGTACTAGTTGTAAACTACCTCACAACTAATATGAACCACATGCCCAACTAGTAAGCCAACTATCTTTTTTCCATGCAATCAACTAGTATTTTTAACATGGGGGGGTTCTACGAGATGGCAATTGTCAGATATACCAGTCTCATACTAGTTCAAAATAGGCAGAAAAATGCTAGTCCAATTATGGACCAAAACCACTACTCTGGGAGTCAAAAAATGAAATGAATTCATGAATATACAATAAAAACTTTTGATTAAGTGCACTTTAATATATTACACATTTTTATTTAGCAGCATTAGATTTGCCAATATATAGTGTTAAATTTTTTGAGTATTAAAAGCAAAAATAAACACATAAATATTCCAAACTTTCGAACATAAATTTAAATGCATTTTTCATGAAATGTTATTAAAAGTAAAAGGTTTCAGGTACAATAAATACTATATTTTTATCTCTTTTAATAATATTGAATACGCAAAAGAAAACATTTTAGTTAAAAATAAAATGAATACTTTAGTTCATTTTTGAGTGAACTGAAATAGAAATAAAAGTGATCATAAAAATAAATTAAATTCATTAACTTTGCACATTTCAGTACATTCGTTTTAAAAATTTATAAAGGTAATAATTAATGTTTAAAATTTGAGATTTTGATAAGAATAAAATAAATAAATAATTCAAGCAGTTATTAAATATTCTTAATTTTTATCCATTGTTCGGCTTGTTGATTGATAATAGAAATTAACAAATAATTATATTAATCGTGTGATTAAAAAAAGTCAAAAATAATTGAAAATTATCAAAAATAACTAATTAATGATCTAATTAAAATTAATGATTTAATTAACACTTTTTTTAAGTAATTAATTATTAATCATAAAAAGGGTGGTAATATCGATATTTAATCATTGAACGGTTATCCAAAAAACATGCTTTAATAAATAATCATTATGAATATTAATCATTATTTAACAGGTCTGGTATAATTGAATACGGACTCGATTTAATGGTTTACAATATACCCAAATAAAAGTTATAATATTTTGTGTACTTTATTGTATTAAACTGTCGAAGTAAAATAAAACAGGGGATGAATAAATAGTTTTGTACTTGGTACAAGTCTGGTCATTTTCCAACTAGTTCGGTTTCAGTCAGGAAATTCTGGTTGTAAACTGGTATTTTTCCAGACTGGTATGGGGTTTCACTGCAGGGCACGTACACATACACGTACACATACATGCGTTTATAAACGCTGCAGGGAAGCTACCAGTTGTGAATTAGAATAATATCAGTTTGCCTTTCAGCCCAACTAGTTCACGTTCCATCCTTGTTAGCGACTGCTATTTTTAACAAGGCGATGTCCTACGAGATGTAAATTGTCAGGCTATGCATCGGCATCTACTAGTAGAAATACCAGTAGCATCATACCAGTTTATGAGGTCGTTTGCCAATCATCTCCCGTGAAAAGCATAAGTATGCCATTTTGCTCGCGGCGCTCCAACAGTCGCAATGGCCGACAGAGCAGAGCACTGGCGTGGTATTACTGAGGTCCGCGGTTCAATCCCTGGCGCAGGGAGAAGTTTTTTTATATATTTTTTTCAGACCATAACGATTATAAGAAATAAAATTAAATATTGCTCTATAATTATTACTGAACAATGGAAACGTTGTTTTCATCTCGCGGGACGATTATGTTAAGATGTAAATTACTTCCGTCCTCTCATAATAATTATATGGGACTTTTACTTTTTTTTCGTCTCGCGGACGTTTATATCAAGACGGAAATAATTTAAGTCTTCTCATAATAATTATGTGGGACTTTTATTTCGTCTCGTCTCGTGAGACATTTATTTTAAGACTGAAATGATTTACATATTTTAATAATAATTTTGTGCGGCTTTTATTTTTCTCGTCTCTCGTGACGTTTATTTTAAGATGACAATGATTTACGTCCCACGTTTTCTTTTAATAGAATCGGTGTATGTACAGCCGATTTCACGAAACTAAACGCAAATATCTCCGAGCTCCGAAAAAATATTGTCAAGGTAAAACTTATGTTAAAATATATCGTAGCCAGAACTTTATTTATAGAAACAGAAGTCCTGTGAGTTTAAAAAACGCCCAACATTGCGCGCCATATTTGAATGTATCTCGAAAAAACGCTATATTTTCTTATAGGATATTGACTACGCGATAAAAACCTAAGCCCCCTGCCCCTCACTGTGACCAAGCCTGAAGAAGATATCCCCTTTTCGCAGACCAAATAAAGACATTGGGGCTGATAGGTAACTCCTGTTGGTGCTGTTGAAAACAGCTTTGAAGGCGGAAAATAGATGGTGTCGATCTTTTCCCGCTGGTTGTTTGCAAGATTTGGCGTATTGTGAATGCCTGGTATATTATGGATTTTCCAGGCCTGGAGCCACACTGATAAGGCACCATCAGTTCGTTGACGGTGGCCTTCAGCCTTTCACACAATACGCTCGACCATACTACGTTCAAATTGACGAGCTAAACTTGTTAAATGGGCTTGAACCAGTTAAATGAGCAAAATTTGTTCATAAACAAGTTAAATCGCATGCAATTGTTGTTGGAAAATTGAACCAGTTAAATCATTAAACTCGTTTGAAAACCAATTCGGCGCAGAGTTGTATCAGAAAGCT